GAAACGTCACATGATCAACACCGGCTATATTATTACGTATAATATTAAAGAGACGTTTGTGAATAGCCACCGCGGAGTTAGCTAACGTCAAACTGCTAATTCGTGCCCAAACTGTATTCTAACTTTAGTGACACTTTAAAGTCCCAGACATGTTCCTGGAAACAAACCATTCTCTGCTGCACTCCCGTTGTGTACTTACTCCTTCGTCCATGGCTTCGCAGCGAGGATTTCTTGTTGTTGCTTTTTGTCGTATTTGTAGATTTCGTCTATGCTCTGCACCTCCTGCATGCTGTTCGTCAGCTCCCATGTTTTCTGAGCGGTGCTGCTGCCCGCCATGACGCTTTCAGACGACCGCGGACTGAAGCTCAGAGAAGCGAGGACACGGTTGTTTTCTCAAAGTGTTTGTTTGCGGAGCAGGCTCGAGGACGTCCATTCACTCAGGCGGCCATGACAGTGAGTGATACCAACACACCGACTCGCAATCACAGGGGGGGTGGGGCGCTCGTAGTAATTTCAACTCTATATAACTTTAATGTGTTTCGATAATGGCATGGCGTTATTGACGTTAATACTATACCGCTTGTGTCATAGGTCACTCAGCACTGCAGCGATTTATTTAGTGTTTGATAGATTTAAAGATGAAGCACCCCTCTCTCAGAGAAAAGTGGTGGAGTCCAGAGAGTACGCGAACTGACAGTTAAGGACGCACTGACATCTAGCGGCACTTTGTGGAACTACACGTTAGAAAGTAAAGAAAAGTCTCAGGTTAGAAATACAAAGAGCTTTTTTTTAACCTTCTGCAAGGTCTGGAGGTCGAGCAGGAAGGTTTAACACCGAGGTTCATCAGAAATCGAGAAAACTGCAGCTGATCAGTCAACAACGAATTCAAGTTCCTGCAAGGCGACTAGGACGAATGGGTCATTTACTTTGTTTTGCGAACTTCACTTCTCGGGAAACACGTCAAGAAGCGTCACTAAAGTAGTCTGCATTGCAATATCAAGGTTTGTTAGCTTATAGTGTTTTATATCAACTAAGTCAGATGTTCTTTCTGATCCACAGAAGAGTCTCTGGGTAAATTATGTCAAGACTGCCAAGGTGATTTAACCAGTTTCTGATGCCAAGGAGAATGGTGTGTCTTTCTATGTAATGACCTTTATCCAGGCATCCCTTTTAGATGTTGATAGAGAGTTGAGCTGTTGTTAAAACGATGTACAATCTGGTACAAACGAATGTGGAAGGACTTGGCAGTGATGTTAATGGAACATGGATGCTTAAAGACAACTGAAACTGGAGCACTGCTTTATTTTCAATGAGACACATAAAAAGACTCAAATTTGCTATGAATTAATGTTTTGATTGTCTTGAAATGTTGTCATAAGACACAAGCAAAGTATAACCTCATATCTTAACTATCAATGATTGATTTGATGAAAAACAAAATGTAAAAGGCCTGTGATTGATTTTAAGTTCCAACAACACGTTCATCAAAGTTTTCTTGTATGATTACAATAATATGTACATACTACTGCTGTGAATTTTTACCAGCTGTGCTCATTAGAATCATAAGTACTAAAACAGTTTCATAGATAACTTTCTTGCAGATTAAACTACATTAATTTATAATCCAACAAAAAATGAAAGACAGTTGTGGAACAAGGTAAACATGATTTTTACTGTAGGAAGACTAATCTCTAGTGCTTAATATTAAGTGAGTATAATTTATAGTAGGAATGTTGGAAATTAAAATTAAAGCACAATAATAAAGTAGTATTTCACACATTTAAAATCTTACATTTAAAATGTTTAGCAGTGTGTAGTTAAACAGTGGGTCCAGGAGCCATTATTCATCACAGCTCATGTAGCAGCTCACATCTGTTCTAACGTCTCTTCGTGTTCGGCAGATTAAAACACAGTGTCAGAAAATAATTTACCTAAGACTATTCAAGGTTAGCTCACATACTAACTTCTGCTACAACTCTGAAGTGTGTTGACATGTGACCACTGGCTTTTCACATTATTTAACATGAACTATACCTCAGATTATTAAGCTAATCATGTTAGCAGCTAGTTCTCAGCGCAGTCGAGGGCTGTGGTCAGTAGCTCAAGTTGGAGGTCAGAGGTCAGACCCAGGTCTTTCCTTTTATTCAAATATGGTAACATCCGCCAACTCTCGGCTTCAAAACGGAATTCACAAACCAATGGGTGATGTCACAAGTGGCTAGGTCGTGACGAGGTTGCCACACTGACATCAAAGGCAGATGCCTTTAAACAGTGGAACATCAATGGCATATGCCTCTACAGTATAGCATCAGTCGCACCTGCCTTTGAACTGTGTGGCACCAGTGTGTGTATTTACAGATCGCTTGTTAGTGTTTTATTTGATTTTATATGTGAATGCTCAGTCAAGAGCTGGTGATATAAAAAACAGAGTGAATATGCCTCAAGCATCAGCAGAACGAGTGGACCCTAATCCAGACAGAGGTATTGTACCATCATTTGAAAGTGAACAGGAGGCATTATACAATCTGTGTATTATACTGTATATTCTGTGTTTTCCTGGATAGGGCTTAAGTTCACTGCATTTTTTGGCTCAAGAAATTAACTGGATCTTAATCTTCCCCACCATCAAAGCATAGTTTTAAATTTGTTGATTCTAGTTGGGGTACAGTCAGTCAGTAAACTTGCAGTATCTGGCACTGTCAACTTCGATTGGACTAATTCACATTGCCCTCAATAAACTGCCAGGCTTCTCTGTAGAGAATCTCCATTCATTATGGTGCCACTTTATCACCATATCAACGGCTAAGAGGTCTTGGCAAAGCAGTTCATCAATCTCATTTTACAGCAGAACTGATTTTTTAACTGTTGGAAAGAGAAGCTGGCAGACGGTGGCAGCAGATACCTGTTGAATACTTTGTGTTCAGTATCTTTTACCATGTTTTTTGTATTTCCTTCATTAGATTCTCTGCGTGGAGGGGTGCAGCAGCCTGGGAATCTCCAGAGTCCTCTTGAGAAACCATCTCCTCTCCTACCTMGTCGCCCGACCAAGTTAGTATCCATCATAAGTCACAAGTTTATTCATTCAGATGAAATTCAGTGTACATAAATTAAGGCAATTTCTAAATGTGCAACTTCTTTTGTTCACACAGAAAATCAATTTGCAGATTGTAAATGCATTTACATCAGTAGATGGTGGAGAAAAAACATCTCTCTTAGAAAAAGGCCCTTGCTGCAAAATGACTGTTTCTGTTTTCTTCCTTCCTMRCCCATTCCAGAGCATCTGATCAGCATAATGCACCTATCSTTGCTTTTGGACAGTTTGCTGAAGAMGAGTCCAAAAAGAGGAGAGAGAATGCWKTGAGGCACCAGGAGGAACTCAAGCAGCAGGTACGACATTAGATATTGTCTGATCACCATAAACAGAACCCAAGTTTTGGAAACCTGATCAATTACTGTCACAGGAATCCAGGACATTAACTGAATTTAAAATCTGACAGATGGAGGAAAACAAGATAAGGAAGGAGAAGGAGAGAGAACAAATCAGGATTCTGGAGGAGAAAAATGAGAGGGTGATAGAAGAATGTCCTCTCATGAAGCAGCAATATCCGGGCCAGAGAAGAAGGCCCAAAGAGAAGTTTAAGGTGTGGGGCTCATCTATTTGCTGAAGGGAACCTCATCATTTCTCACTTTTTGCAGTGCGTGGGTGGCTTCGGGATTGATTATTACTTCAGAGCATTTCCTTGTACTTTCTGCAGGAAAAACTGGAGATGGAAAGTTGTTGCAATGAACCTGAAACACATCGTCAGGAGGAGGAAAAAAGGTGAAGCAGGAAAAAAAGATGGAGAAAAACGTGCCTCGGACAGGGACAGAGAGTCACTGACTCAGTGAGGCGACCAGGTAGGAGAGGAGATACTGAACATGCCTTTGGCGCCTTCAGTATCTCCTCTCCTACCTGGTCGCTGCACTGAGTTAGTATCCATCATAAGTGACAAGTTTATTTATTCATATCAAATTCAGTGTACATAAATTAAGGCAATTTCTAAATGTGCAACTTCTTTTGTTCACACAGAAGATCTATCTGAGGATTGTAAATGCATTTACATCAGTAGATGGTCATAAAAAAAGATCTCTCTCAGAAAAAGGCCCTTGCTGCAAAATGACTGTTTCTGTTTTCTTCCTTCCTGTCCCATTCCAGAGCATCTGATCAGCATGATGCACCTATCCTTGCTTTTGGACAGTTTGCTGAAGAGGAGTCCAAAAAGAGGAGAGAGAATGCAATGAGGCACAAGGAGGATCTCGAGCAGCAGGTACATTAGATATTGTCTGATCACCATAAACAGAACCCAAGTTTTGGAAACCTGATCAATTACTGTCACAGGAATCCAGGACATTAACTGAATTTAGGGGCAGATCTCAATGTTTTGACAATCAGAAAGTAGATCACGGTGGAGTCGTGGGCAATAGAGACAGAGTTTAGGTGTGGTGTGTGACAGTGTATAAACCTCTGACACTTTCAGATCAAAGATAATGAGGAGCGTAAAATGAGAAAAAAAGAAGAGGAGTTGCGATCTGTTGCCAAGATGATGGGGTACAACCACAACCCTTGGGGCCCAAGCAGGGGAGACACTCGGATCAAAGGCGAAAATCCACTGGATCCTAATCTTCTCCAACATCAAAGTATAGTTTTACATTTTTTAACAAAAAAATGTTAATTATAAAAAATGTTTTTGCTATTTTGTCTTTTGCTGAATGTAATGTTTACTTTTCATCACTGCTGATTTTTTTTCAAGCATAAGTGTCTCTTACTTTTGAAATGCGTTGTCTTGTACAGCAGACAGACAGTATTTGATTTGCACTGTGGTTTAAAGTTAACTTATAGACTATCAAGCGTCATAATGTAGCAATGTGGCATTAACAAAATGTCGCAAAAAAATATTGACTGAAACAAAAACAGATTTCACTGTGAGGGATTAGCTGCCACGCCTGCAAGTCACATGAGTGGAAACCAGCAGCTGCTTAGACGTAGAAAAAACAGTACAAAATATCTACATCATAAAAATGCTACATTATGCAGAGGCAAATGGACGGCAGTAATGTAAAGTATAACAGTATTTGTGGTGATACTAGTTTGAGTACAGTCAGTCAATAAACTGACTTGCAGTATCTGGCACTGTCAACTTCGATTGGATTAATTCACATTGCCTTTAATAAACTGCCAGGCTTCTCTATAGAGAATCACCATTCATTATGGTACCACTTTATCACCATATCAACGGCTAAGAGGTCTTGGCAAAGCAGTTCATCAATCTCATTTTACAGCAGAACTGATTTTTTAACTGTTGGAAAGA